GTTTCTTTCTTATCGGTTGATAAATTTTGTCAATCTCGATGTGTCTACTGATTGATGATTCACTGGAATGTCAAGCTTCTAAAAATTCTCTAGCATTCTTGTTGTTTCCTGTGTCTAATATTTGAACATTGTCCCAATCAAATTGATGCCCGTGGTTGTCTGTATGTAGTGATATGAGGGAGTGGATGTCATGTCTTTTGATGGCTAGCTTATCATCGTGGATACGAAGACGAATAGGACGTCCACTTTGGCCAATGTAGTGCTTTTCGCAGTTGTTACAATTTATGTTGTAGATTATGTTGGTTTTATCTTCTTTCGCTGTTGAGTCTTTTGGTTGACATAGAAGTGAGTGAAGTGATTTTGTTGGTTCGTGTGCGACGTCAATTCCTAAAGGTTTGACGAGTCTTGCAGTGATTTCTGATATATCCTTTATATATGGCAGGGTGACTTTCTTTGTGCTCTCCTTGTGGGCTTTTGGTTTGATAGGTTGGCTTGGGGATATATGTCTTTGGATGAAATTCCTTGGATATCCATTCTTTTGGAAGACGTCCATGGGATATCTTTCTTCAGTTTTCCTTAAGGTTGGAGTGCTGCAATGACTAGTAGAGGGGTTTGGTGTTCTCTGTACTGTTGGCAGATATATAAATATTCAAACGAAATATTTCTATAATATTAAAATCTAATAATTGTATATAAATAATTGTGTCCATATTCACCTCGTTCCAGGATGTGACAGTTAGTATTGTACTAAATTTCTGACTTTATCATATATTGGTTTTTCAAATGTTTATCTCGTCATAAATTGGTGTCATCAGGCGATCATCCCTTCACTAGAACGCTAGTTGTTGTGTCTGAATGACTGATGTTATCACGAGATTGGACTTTAATGTGTAAGAAATGTTGCGACGTATTACAAAACAGCATGTAAAATCTCGATGTTCAGACAGCTAGCGATGAATAATAAAGGCGTCTTCGACATTATTCGCTCAGAATTGTCGATGTGGGAGTTCTTCCTTCAATATTCAGCAATTCACATTAATAATATGCCATACAAAATAAAGGGAAGAAGACACCATGAGATTACATACAGCCACTATTAAAGGAAATATACTGAAGTGAAATTACAGTGATATTTTGAAGCATCAGTCGGATTATTTATACTGCAGGAAAGACTGGGTAACACATTTTGTGTATAAACCACAATTTAATGCATTTAACGAATTTCAACATCGTCGGAATTGTAGAATTGGCAGGTCAGTTGAAATATATATAAAATGGCGGGTAATTCATATTACATTTTTCATCCACTTTGTTGATTCCAAGGTCACCAACTCAAAAATTACAGAGTTAAGATCAGAAAAACGCGATTTTTATTTACCTCGTTATATGTAATCACCTGCTCACCACCTGGAATTCATAAATAAGTAAATGAAACTTTCTGACTGAGTGAAGTAAGGGTAAAGTAAAGTAGATTTAAAAATCGACATTGTACTAAAGTTTGTTTGTCGATTGCGATATCGATAACTTGTCACTCACAACTATTTAAGAAAAAAATGTGTACTTGAAATTCTGTTTATCACACATCAAGACCAAAAAGATGAATGCAAGTAATTCGATATGAGGGGTAATCAGTCTTCCGATATAATGTTGAACATATGAGTATTAGCAGTTAATATGATCAATTTATCTTCACAATGTTCTCAAGACGAAAGCTTCTTAGATACTTTACAATCTCCAAGTAACTCCTGCATCTATCATTAGATCAAAACAATTTAGACTTCCCTATTCCTTAGATAATCCATTTGTAAGCAAGTTATAAGGTTACCCAAAAGTAACAGCAATCTCATCAGACCGATTAACGGGGTGTACTTGCAGCATTAGGATATGAATTCGTAAAACAGTTGGTGATAGAATACTTGGTACAGATTTGAGAACGAAGAGGAAGTTTAAAAATGTGTCTTGTGAAAATGGAAAATGTGTATATTTCAGAATCATTAACTGTTAACTGGATCTCATCGCATTTTAGAAACTGAATATCTAGATAGATGACAGAGAAAAAAGAAAAACAATCAGGAAATAATTCGTGTAAATGGCTCACTTCATCAACGAATTTTATTCGAATAAAATTATCATTCATTTTTGTCTCATGCTCAAGATTTACGTAAGTAAATAGCTAACCAACCAGATAAGCATTTCTAATGACTGGGGAAATCACACGAATTAGATGGCATGATATCAATAATTTCGTCAATGAGAGAGCGAAAATTTCAAGTTGATGAATAGCATTTATCTCTCATTTAATTCCCCCCTGAAACTACGTTAAAAAGATTACAAAACCTCTGTTACTCATGATAAAACACTGACAGCCTTTTGGAATGTCAGACAGGTTTTAGCGTATGTTCTTTGAGTCATAATTTCATTGATGTTTCAGTATTCACCAGCTTTACAAAAGTGGTGTGACTCATGTAATAGCAAACATAATATGAAGACCGACTCGGAATAGGTTTAATCGCCATGGTAATTCACTAGGTGCACACAGATAAAATGCATTCCATTGCGGAAACTGATCATCATCGTTTCTTAAGAGGACTTCTGAGGATAGCGGACACCAGTATTTTGAGAGTGCAGCTGATACTGCACAAGCGAGCATACATAGAATCGATGATTTTGACTAATGTCTTCAGCTCCTTTTATTACATTGTGGTGCGTTAATTGTGATAAATCTGAATGTTAAAGAGATTATATTTCAATTTTTGTTGAGTAATTAAAAAGTCTAATGAGGCATCGGAGATGGATTGTGACTTTTTGAACATGGAGGATATCATCATGAGCTGAAATCAATACTTTTTGAACACTCGTTTTAATTGCTTTTGTTGCCTCAATACATTTGAATTTTGAGGAGTGAAAGCTGGAAGAAACATACTGATCAAGCATAAATGATTTATAATTTGGATCGTTGCTGTTTTCAGAAAATGTCACTTGTTTATAAGCTACAATGGATTAATTTCTAAACCAACTAGCGATTCAAAAGTCACACAAATCACGATGGAATTTTACCACAAAATTTGTTTGGAAGTATCACCAGTTCGGCCATGTAGCCATCTAAAGTTTGAATGTTTCGAACTGTTGGGATTGATGAGGATGGCCCCAAATGAGGGAAGCCGCCAACCATTGTGTTGTACACTTCAATCTGGTCAGCACACGCCACTGATTAATTGGAGTGATATCTAGTTCCAGTCAATCAGTAGTTAATGGTATCACATAAGAAATTGTTTAGTTTAAGATTAGCATTTACATGTGGAGTCCATCCTGAAATGAGTTGATTTATATTTGAGACTCAAGTAAGACTTCTACGCTCATTTTAGTCTTAACGGGAAAAAATTATTAGCCACATCAAGTAGTCCTTATCAAATTGGCAAAGAGGGTGTTAAGGAAATTTAAGTGAACACAAATTCAACTGTAGCCGAGGAAAATAAGCACTGATGTGAATTTTCGCGTGCATTAAAGAACTTGAAACCAACCGCTCAATATCTAAGAATATTTCAAAATTCTTTTGTTTCCAGTCAATAATTTAAGTGAGTTCCCAACATATTAGTTTTGTTATTCCTAATAATTTTGGATTCAGAAGGCTTACCAATTATTACCTTAAATCTGTACACTATGAATATATTTCATGCTGTTTTATTCAATCTTCCATTAAAATAACTTCAGTAATATTTTAGAAGGAGCACACATTTCAACAAGTTTATTCGAAGGATTATCGCAATATGAAGGTTCTTTCTCAATTCTTGGTGATGATAGTAATTAGGCTCCTTTACATCATGTGTGTCATCTGACCAAGAAGATTAATTACCTATTAAATGTTGAGATAACATTTTGAGATAAGAAGAATAGTCAAAATGAATGGTAATCATGCAGCCATGGGTCCCAACACGCCAAAACTTAGAGAAAGGACAGATCTGGAATACTGGCAAAACAAACACAGTTTCAGAAATAATCAGTGAAAGATTTCAGAATATATCTGTTGGAAATAACGAGAATATGGAAAGAACAGATAGTTATCGTTTAACTAAATTCGCTCAGAGTATTTAAAGTAGCTAGCAGAGACAGTTAAACATGCGTCAGGGATGTATAGCATCTATGCTCTGATGTTTGCGGCTGCGTGGCACTAAGTTGAAGGCTGACACATAAATTTCCATACAGTTCTGCTTCATCGTAAATTTCAACAGTATTAATCTATCCCAATACATAATCTTAAGCTACAGTGGAGAGACCTTATATTTTTGATTTATTTAACAGCAAAGGGTATATATGAATACTTTCAATTAGTTGGTTGTCACGCTACATTCACGAATTGGTGGAACCGGGAGTTCATTGTATCGGGTATAAGTCATTGAAACGATCTGCACCACGAGTTGTAGCCAGTAGTTCTTGGATTCGAATCCCGGTTGGTGAGTGTCTGTGTAATCACTTCACATTAAAACCACTTGATGAGGCTGAATGGAGATTCGAAGTTAAGACGAAACAGATGTCCAGTACTCTCTGGTCTTCAATGCTTGTCCAATTGACATTGCTACACGAGAAGATGAAGTAATTGTGAAGGGACCACTTTTTCATGGAAAAGCACCTGATATTTGGACACTGTTAGCAACATTAAATCTCGGCTAGCTCACAGGAGAAAAAACATGCTTCTAACTGGTTGGCGATTAACCCTAAGCTAAATAAGTCTCGCAATGAAGTTATTTCATGTCCCCAACGTGACGGTAATCCAGATTTGAGGAATGAACACTTCTATTTCTGCTGCAGCCATTCACTCAACATGTCAATTTCAGTGTAAGCCACTTCCTATCGATCTGCCTCACTCCATCAAATCATTCTATGATCAGACTTGAAACAAATCAAAATCCTGCAAACCGACTCACAGCGAATGCATATTGTACGCATCAGGTGATAAGACAATTCCGAGAGTGATGAATGAACTATGTCGATAGAGAGTTGAGGGGGCATGCACACTTTTATCATGCAATCATTCGTCTGCTGTCGAATGATGTGCGAATTGTAATGTCTCGCAAGCTGAAGTATGCATTTGATGACACCGATGATGTCGTCGATTATCTGTGATCCATAGAATCTATCATCGAGGGCTGCTCATTGCAGTCGAATGCTCACTAACTATGATAATCCATCAAACAGGTCGAAGTAAGCATCATGAGTCAAAACATTGTTTTCACACATACTCATTATATGCTGCTTACGTGTATCATCATCATTCAACATGAATTGCTCGAATGCTTTAGCCGTTTCATAAAGCCTCTTATCGGCAGCCTCTGAAAAATTACACAAAGAATCGTGATCATTGACTGTTAGAAGTCAATAGAAGTTAGAGAAGATTAAAAAATATTTTGAACAGAAAAGGAATGGTCTGTTTATTATTCGTCTCAGCCGTTCTCACTGTTTTCCAGACCTCCCAGGATTAGTCTCCACACACTCGAATTCCAATGCAGTCCATCGGATCGTGGCTAGATGATTGGAGGTAATCGGCAGGAAGCCGTGGACATATATTTCGTAATTTCTAAACTCGCTTCATTTTGTGTGGTCGATCAAGTAGCACGCTTGCTAGGAATGCAAGTAACCAGTGTACAACATCGCCGGCTGACAGGTATTCCTCGTGATCACCGCTTCTGTTGCAGGATCGGATGCCCTTGTCAATTCAACTATCACTTTGAAGAATACTATATAACGTAAGCACGAACTCTGAGTACAGGGCATCTTCCCGATTACCCACAAACACCTAACATTCACCCAGTGTGCTTCATGATGACGAGTCGCGCAGCATATGGCGTGGACACATGCCGAATATTGACTGATGATAAAATTCAGTCTGCACCAACCTGAGGACTAGACAAATCACATCGGCTACTACTAAGTGATCAATCGAGTTATCGTTTTGCGTCATTCACGCTTTTCGCTCTAGTAGCACTGACTGACGCAAAATAATGATTCGTCATTTCAGACTGCATTCCCACATGCTGACGGCCTCATATTCTGCTTCGTTCATTGCAAGTATTACCCTCCTCCGTATCAGGCGAGATCATCAGTTGTTCTGCAGAAGATATGCAGGCAGACGGATAAGTCGCTTATTTGGAGGTAGCCTGAGGTTAAGTGAACCCTGATACTGTGCATCGTGAACTGATGACCTGGTCTGTCAAATTTGTGATTGCCTCAAACCTATGTAAACTGGCAATTGTGTGCATTCAACCACACTGACTAGGAATGATATCCACATGAACCACAAGATTTGTTTGGTTGCGCGAGTTCCGCATCATGTTATAATAGAATGTTTGCCACACAACGTAACATATCAATTCAGAATACATATATATTATTGCGTATACATAAGTAGATGAGTGCAACTGCAAACGTACTTTTCAGTTCTCGAATTTGTTTCTCCCCCGTCATCAATTTCACTTTCACTGTTATATTGACTTTACGGAGAGAAAAACACCAGAGTTATTGATCAGATAACTGAATGAGTGTAGGCCAGACAGCTAAACAGGTTTGCAGAGAACAGGACAAGATGGAGATGTGCTGTTGAAGCCCCATCTTGCACTCAGAATCCATAGGAACAGTTATTATAATAATAACAATCATAATGGGCTATTGGGATGCACTTCTTTATCAGAATATACTGGATATTCACATTATTTCAGATTCATGTCGTGCCATTCACTCATTTTCTGTGCTTATTGAAGTTGAAGTGAATCCAGGCCATTATGTAAATAATGCGGCATACCACTTGTCAACTGATGTAAATCACAATCATCAGCATGTATGCAAAACTTTGATGAGTGGCGTCACTTTTACCTGCCTCGACTTAATTGAAGAACAAGATTTCCTACACATCATGTGAACAAGTGACATATTATGTAGGTTCGCATGCATTCTGACAATCAGTGTACTGAATGGTGGAATATACTTTTGACGTACACAGTATCGTGCGAATACCTCAATTCATAGAAACATGAACTCAAGGCATCAGCTTACCATCTCTATTACCGGTATTATTCAGGTCATCAATGTCCCCACTTGGCTAAGCTTTACATTGGGAAGCATAATCCAAGACGATGGAATCAGTAGTAAGAGTGGCATAGAATGCGTGTTACCGCTTTCATTTATTACTACTTGACGTAAGTCGATATTGTATTTAGGTGTAGCCCAATATTTGTCTGACAGTCATGACGATATTATGGTTGAATTATGATAGCTGTGGGGTGGATGAACCATTCATGTTGTGGCTAAAATTCATCACTGTGTCTCATTTCGTAGTATCGTTTCTTCAATCCACATCAGTTCCATACCCCATTCAACTAATTATTTCGCATGAAAAATGTTACAAATAGCGAAAATTGAACCTCGAACACTCACCTTCCTTCTTCAAACACGTAGCCGATGATCTAGACAGGTGAGCATCTACAAGAAATTTAAGAGAATATACGAAATTCACTTAACGTGCTAGGGACTGTTCACTTTTATTAGAGTTGAATTATGTTCTCACATTCGGAACTGAATAATCACCGTCAGACATTTACCAGTCTGATACATCCAATTAAAAATCAGCGATGCATTTTACCGTCTGTATCTCACTCACACTTATTCACAATACAAATCAGTCTGTAATTCAAGGCAAAGATGGTCTCTCAAAGCCTGTCATAAAAGCTCATGAAGAAATCCACATGAGATATGCTTCTCAGACACAGAGTTGGAGAGTTATGTGGAGGTACAATAATTAATGACCCACTGACTGACATTATTTAATTTCTGCAGTCGTATGCTTTGTGAACGTGAAATCAGTCGTGTGTGTGGGGATCACCATGATGCGTTCACACTGAGATTCATTCAGCACCTGACCGTTCTATCAATTTTCAATGGTGAGAAATTCTCACTGATACATACTTATGAAAGAAAAATGTGTCGACTGCTTTACTCTTTTACCTTCAGCAGCATCCAATCTTGCTCTGGCTTTCCATTTCTTTTCAACTTTCTCAATAAGCATATTACTTTCTACAAGAAATAGAAAAGGAAAATGTGTATGCATCGACACGTGTTTGTTTCCTGTAATTCAAATTGGAAAACTGCTGATGAAAGCCACTTGTTGTGAGGATGCATTTCAAATAGTCCAACGTTTATGTGTTGGAATGGAATCCAGGATGCGCATTTCATCCTATTAGAGACTGATCATCTGGATGTAATTACCTTCTCGAGTGAGTGGCGGTGTTTCTCCCTTCCACACAAAAACACATCCCAAGATTCTAACTCAGTGCTCCTCATTTTAGAATGCCAAGTCAGAATCCACTTCACCTCAATGGCCAGTCACCATCCGCCATTTAATCAAACCAAGTAGAATGGCAGTTCACTTGACATTCGTCAGTTGAGACCTACATAGTTTAGCTTATTCGAAGAAATCCAAACGACTCGCTCGATCTCATAATTCATCCAGCTCCATGATACTCTGAACAAATCGGATTTGTAGGCGCTAGAAAAGATCCGTCACCTTGCTAACTGTCTGACAAATAGTATCTGACCACTTTCACTGGACACTAGACAGAAACTAATCTCATAAGATTTGTCTTCTGTTTTGCTGCAAACTACATTCTATCAGTCCAGTTTGCAATGAGGCCATCATGCTAGGTGGCTGGACATCATGGTGTGGATTGCCACCAAGTGTCTCACAGTAACTTGACCGCATTTCAAACAATGCAACTTCACATACGAAATGCTCTTCATCCGTTTCATGCATAGAATTAATGAGTGTGTTTGTGTATTCAATGTGAATAAGTACACAAATATACGAGATAACTACCAGTGGATTCGGTATATTCTAATGAAGATATATTTCCACGTCAGTGGTCACGCCCTGTATAAACGCACTGTGTGCAAATCACATTCTTGCCAGTGTTATGAGTATGTCACTTGCATGTGTCATGTTTGCATGGACTGCGATTAGAAAGAATTACAGTGAATGAAAATTCAGTAATTACCTATGTCCAGAGGAGAAGATTCATTCAGGCGTTTCTCCATTTCGTAATCATCTACAAGAATTAGAATTTTGCAGTCACTTAGAAAGATACATGCTGACATAATTAACTGCAGATAAACGATAATGTGAGCTTCATAGTAAAATACTGACAATGTTCCCACTACTCAACATTCACTATTTATTATGTAGCTGGTGGTGATCTTAGGCTCAGTGACATCACTGCTATAACACTATTTGTGAACTATATTTCAAATGGGATTCTCATCCAGGTGTTTACTGAGTGGATCTACTGGTTCTCCCTGAAAGGTAGATGGATGCCTAATAGGACAATGGAAAGAGAAGAATTTGAAGATGCGTCTTTGTATTTGCGTGTTCGTCTTTATTCGTGACATTGTAAACGGGAGTGCGATTTGCTATGCTCCATCAAAGGATAGGTCTGATGCGATTAAGCTGTAGACTGGAGAGATAAATAGGAAGAAGAAGGAGACGGAAACCTCGTTTGTGCAAACCACACGTTAAATTATCTCAGTATACACAAGTAGCAAATAACTCACTTGCATATCGTCTCTTAGTGTTTTCGTCAATCACCTCGTTCGCCTGGAAAACAGGTGAAGCTGCAAGCAAAGTTGCAAATTATCATGAATCTCGTGTATGTGAATGAGGAATCAATTATAATGTATAATTCTTATAATATATAAATGTGATGAGAGGTTTGCATCGCATGAATGTATGTGAATATGCATTTCACTTTTCTGACAATTTTTTCCCTCACTGCAGTTGATTTCCTACCAACAGAGCTTTGATTGACACTGAAAGCATCATCACTAGTGCTGTTCATTGAAAGAACACAATGACAACATCATTTCTATATTTGCTCACTGAGTGAAATACGATTGTGCAGTGATCACCAGAATGATTTCTACAGACATCAGTGAAATAGTGAGAATGATGACAATATGAAATGCAGCATAACGCAATGTAAGTTGCCAGTAATGCATGTTTCTATTAAATTCCGTGGATGTGGCTAACCATCGGCTGCAGTCAACTCTTACCAATAAAATTTCGATTTAAATCTCTCTGCATTTATTAAAGGCTAGTCAGTAATTTCGAATAATTAGCCGCCATATAATGGTGTGGCGCACGGTACTGTATATGCTAACAACTTCCAATTTACTGACCAATTAAATAACTTACTCAGTAAATAACTAAGTATCCAACTAATCTTGAGATATGTAACTAACTAACATTGAAATAATCAGGCAAGTAACTCACTAAACTCGAACTAACTAAGTAAGTAAGTCACTTACTAACTTATTTACTGCCTGATAAGCTGATTTTCACCATATGATACACTCGAAAAAGTTTACATTAACATCGCAGCACTCCTCTTCAGTCAAACAATTAAGTGGCAAAAATTGATTCATTAATTTCACTCACATATTAGTTCATTAATCCATTTCAGTTGATATAAATGATCCAGTCTATGGCTTTCTAAATTAATAAAACATTTGTGCAGAAGATAACAAGTGAGAGATGCAATTACTGAATTCAACTAAGACACTCGATACCTTACATTCGAAAGATGTGACTTCCTTTACCCTGTAATCGTGTTTCGTCTTACAACAAATATGAATTATCAAAGAGAGTTTGAATACTCATCAACAAGGCGAGAAAGACACAAACACACACAAACAGGCAACGTGGAAGCTACAAACACTATGATCTACATCAAAGGCGGGGATATACTTTTCTCAAGGTGATAGGAAGCACATGATGGGAACTAGGAGAAACATATGTCCGGAATGATGTACGTTACTCAGTTATCAAGAGCTAGAATGACTGAGTATTACGTAAAGCAATTGGACTAGTTCACTGGGGAATACAGTTCAAGATTGTTTGGTAGAAAGAAAGTTTAACCAGAAAGTGTATAACACCTTTATAGATTACAAGACAAAAGGAAGTGTATTTTTCTAGAACAGTGCAACAAAGGTGCTAGAGTGAATAATATTCAGATGAAATAATTAAGTGTTTCTAAACGGGACAGAAGATGACATGAAGCACCTGAGATTAAAGAGCTCACTGTCAGGAATCAACAGAGCGATTGTGTTTCATCTGTACACCACAGTCCATATTGTAGACAATCCGAAGATGGTCAAAATAATTATCAGGCAAATGAAACCTCACCTGCTACATTTTGCTGAGACAGTCACCATGATACGATTAGAATCAAATCGATGCATGGAGAAAGAAGAACAGTGGAGAGACTTACTCTGCCTTGATGGTAGCATAGTACACAATTTCATCACGACATCTGTCGATTTCAGAGAAATTTCATTCTTTCATCTGAACATGACTGACCCTAAACTCACCTTCACTGATATCTGATAACATGCTCGTTTCTAGTTGCGCAATCGATTGTCTTGTAGCACTCATACCACGCAAACGTCGTTTCTACTGAAAAATCTTGGTTTTATTGTCAAGATTATTGACTTAATTACTCTACAAATTGTCAGTCTTTCTAACTCCTAATAACCTCATAGCTAACAGCATTTCTCACTCATGTTACTCTTCGCTCCTATCAATTACACCATGTCATCTTGACAAAAGGATGTTGAATACTTCAGGATGATTTACATTCCAGTTGTATTGTTCAAGCTGTAGTCCGGTGGGCAGAATACTCGGAATAATAAAATACGATCTCATATCATAAATCCGGTTCACATTCATCGTTCTTGTTTCATTCAACTTGAATAGTAGGAAGAATTATACGAAGTCTAGAATTCCCCATGTAATGTGTATAGTCCACTTCACGTTATATCATGAAGAACAAGGTATACTTAAATATCCCGTATTAAATTCATATACACATCAATAATCTCACCTCTTAACAGCAGTTCAACATTGAATGTATCATTGTGATCAGCCCGTTTTTGAAAAACATCATCTACGAAAGGAAGACATTTGAAAGATTACACCGGTGGGGTGAGTACTGCCGATCATTCTCAAACTAGTACGAAACAGCAAAGCTACCACGTACACCCCAAATTTTGGATGATTCTTCTACTGATGTCAACCCGTTCAGCATGTGTTTCATTGCTGCATTTGATAGCTTGCCGCTATAATCACCACAATGCACAAAACTAATCATGGCCTACCACGGAAACAGGCAGTAATCGTGATATTGACTGGACATATATTTGCCGGAAAAACACTTTTACGAATATCAGTGAAATTTAGGCAACATAAATCTTATATATATATATATTATATATATATATATATATATATATATATAGAATCATTGGAAATGGCACTCCATTAAGATCTCAGATATATCTAATGTCTTCAATTCTGAGATAAATTTATTCCATGTAAGATGCTATGTTTATATACATCAGGTGCATATTGCTACACACGCCTACTGAGATATCTACTCACAGACAATCATCCCGATTCTCATGTGGACACATACGCAGAGAGATACACCATGTGTGTCTTAGATAAAAGAAGAGAATACTGTTTTTAGATGACGCAACAATCGAAATAGAGTAAGAAATCTTGTTCAATTGATACATTGAAGAATAGAATGAGTATAAATCAATATAAATTCACATTGCCTACATTGTATTGCTTGGCTTTCATTGTATGCTTTCCTGTATTCTATTAGCGTTGAATTGACATCAGCTAGAAGACAATTGAATTTATAAGAAGAAGAGATATTATTCTTGATAATGCCATGGATAAAAGTAAAAGGTGTTTAAGGAATGGATGAGGAGGTGTATCCTGTTGAGTGCAACGATACTCATCAGTGAAATTATTGATTGGCAAAATAAACATGACAATTGTTCAGTCGATTGTCACTCTGTGAGTATGCGTGAGTAGTGCTGTTGCTATCAGATATGTATTCACTTGTAGTGAGTGGATGTGGCTGCGACCAAGTATTCGATATACAAAAAACTCAGTGCTTTATTGTGAATGTATTTAATGTAAATCAGAATGTACTTGAACTAAATGACTTACCTAGTGCATTCAAGGTGGAACCACTGGTAGCTGGAAAATAAAACAAATTGTTGCACAATTGAGGATGATATGTAGTAAAGACGTGATGAATAGTGTAGCGAGTAGGAGTGTGCATGGATGTGTAACACAAAAGCCTATTCAGTGAGTACAACAACGAGGTGATTTCAGGGAAGTTTATTGTTAGTCAACGATTTGCATGTGAGAAGCTATAAATGACATCGGAGACAAAATGGAGTATGGAAGGAATACCTGCATGAAGTACCACATGAGACTTAATTGAAGAGAGTCCCTACTTGATCAGATCCCAGTGGATAATTGTCTGAACGGACGTGATAGAAAAGAAGCTAGACCACAATACACATCGAAGTCTTTCCATTATCTCAGCTTACACCAAAACAGACTGCTATTCGCACGACGTGAAGGAGATTGGTTCTGTCAATAGCCATCTGGTTTCCTGCTGAAAGCAAGGTTCTCAGATATAGCAGCTGAATGCAACCATTGTTGAAGTAAGGAAGTTGTACCAGTCTGAAAAGTATATTGGCAGTGTCTACGGAAATCCTTACCAACAAATCCATATTGGTGATCGTCTTAATACCTACATAATACAGTTGTTTCGAACTCCTGTTTTCCCTCCTTCGTCTTCCTTTGTGTGCTTCAGGCAATATGGCAACTTGAATTGCTATGCAGAAACTTAAACAGTGAGTCAGTGAGCACGCTTATGAAGTCCATGCAATCAAGGCTAATACTATGGCTACTATTAGGCATGTTGTTTATAGTCATATAACATTTACATTTCTATATATCTACTCAAAACTATACCATGAATGAGGTGTGTGAATGAAAAGGGGTTTATAAATTGCAAGTACGTCAATGACATTTACTCACTAAATTATAAATGTCATCCACTGAGATATGCGTCTCTAAACTCATCACGATTTCATGTGAACGTCCTCACTTGCCTTGACCATTTTACGCGAAATTCACCTTCATCTCAATCGGAGGTGAAATCACATCGAGGTCTGTCGACTCATTACACGCAGACCTCTTGAATTCGTCTCACACTCCATATTTAAAATCAAATCAAACCAACTTCCAAAGAAATACGTAGCAACAAAATAACCATTCTGTTCATCAACTTACCAAAACAGCTTAACAAACAGTTCAGTAATAAGAAAGCAACACAGACCAAGAATATCATCTTCACTGCGTGCACCAAATGAATGACTGATTAATGTTTGAGCATCCACCGTATTTATACAGTATTTTGTGTATCAAGAGGGGGGGGAATGGTGGTGTGATTTCGATTGACCTGAAGTTCACCTCACAGATTTGAATAAGCATTATCCATTTTCATTTCTCAAGCACACTCTGATGAGAACATTTAACAGAAGTGTTTTCCCACGATTCAAATGAAACATTTCAATTAATTTTTAGAGTTCAGAAAAAGTTTATCGTTTATCGCTTTAAGTGTGGTTGGCACAGAAGACTAATTGAGGAAGCAGAAATCACGGTGAACCTGAGGTTTTTGACACACATAAAGCGATGAGTCTTCGAATAGGAAGGAGTAAAACTGTTGACACAAAATCCGATTGACACAGAACCTTCACAAGGGCATCTGGAATAGCTTCAATATAATAGAGATGAAAAACTTATCTGAACACACCTAATCCTTTTTATTCAATTTCGACTTCCTCATTGGTTAATTTAATCGAGGTGTTCGGCCAACGGTAAAATGTCGGCTGCTGGCACGGACGTTCTGACAATGTCTGCGGATTAACTTGAAGCAGTTTGATGAATGGTGTCTGGCAGTGGAATCCACCAGTAGGATTCTCATTTCATCTCATCTGGAACACATCATCTGGATGACGTACCTGCACTACCCAGTGACTCAATGATGGTGTCATCACTGAGACTAGATTCAGAGTACCCATCGTTTCAACTGCAATGCGTGATTCACTCGTAGAAGCGTTCGTACTAGTAGCTGACACGTCAGCAGAGGCTGAATAACCCGGTTCAATCAATAAAGTGGAAAATCGATATTGAATTGGAAATAAAAACAGGCCGATAGTCGTTGCAGAGGAGGAGACTTTGGTTGGACGATTGGTGTAGAGGAACAGGTTGTGTTTGGCATTTCGAACTATGGCCAGTGAATTGGCGTCTTGGTGGGAAAACCATTAATGATTAGGGAATGCAGGTACATCAGTTAGCTGACGACTTGTAGACAGGGTAAGATGCGCATACTGGAGAATTCCACTGCTAATTACCATCCATCTCATTACCCCAAGCATGTTGAAGATCGAAGTTTCAAACTGCTGAAAGTTCAGTGACATGAGAAGAGGGGAATTTCAATAATCCCCTCCCCTTCTCGTTTGACAACTAAGATTTAGAGCCTCGCTTGATCACCTGCTATCCTTGCCTATTCCTTTCTCGAAAAACCTTCCATAACGTGACACATAAATGCAACAACTCGTTATATTTTTTGAACTTGACTAAACTAATACCGTCTACAAACTTCTGTGATTTTTGATACTTAAGTTATTCATCCTATAGATGACAGCTTGTGAGACATTTCTCTTTCCGCTATATATAACGGTTATTATTCGATCAGATGCTTGCGTTAATCTGCAGTCAGATGTTCACATAGTACTGCATAATTTTACTATTTTCTGAGGTTCCAAATGGAGAATGGGGATTCAGCAACACATCCCCGCTTCATCTCCTTGTCTACAATCCCCCTTATCTGACTCCACTATCACACATGTGCTAACATCTCTTCCTCACGCGATCCCCGTCATGTCACACTCGGATATATACCTAACTCGTCAATTCGCATTCGGGTATCAATCAACGGGATTACAAGTGATGACATTCGATTTTCTCCTCAGATAAAAAGTAGTAAGGAGATATGGCATGGATAGGTTTCAAACTGATGAGAAGAGATGGGACGGAAGTGGAGACTCCAAGTTGTTCAATGGATATCCGAAAATCGACCCTAGTCACCTAGAAAACAATTACGAGGTCTGTGGGATTGAGACTGTCACGATGTCACCAAAAATATATTGACCTGTGATTTAGTGCGTATCAGTATTCCCCAGGATAATGACATCAAGATAACATTTAGATGGGAGTAAGGTTGCAGTTAACCAATCCATTTATATTACAAAATGGTTGGCTGATATTCTGGAACCTTTAACAAAACATGCGCGCAGGTAATCACCTCGTGGTACTTTCTAACCCATCGACTGCATACAAGATATTAAGGCTAGTGAGGAGAGAATACCACCTCTCAACAATGAATCATTTTCCATCAATGTCTCACTTATGAAAACTGTCTGTTTCACATGAAAATGCATAGGTAGTGTGTTTATGAAAAGTGCGATAATTGTACACTTCGTCAACACTCGAGATTCTAACTCAACAAACCCCTAGTTAAAATTATTTACATAGTGAGCCACAACCTTCCGAAAACAGCAGGATTTCGTCTGTTTTGCATTGCCGAGGCTCTGGGTATTCAGACAGACAGATATAGAGACTGACCGGATACCTGTACACGAAAGGAAGTTATTCAACCACTTCTACTATCATGCAAAAGAAATACTTCGTTATTTCTACTCACTTGACTTTTGTTTGTTTGTCTGCATTTCAAACTCCTTATAAGCCTCGGATTTCCATGGAAATCTTCCATAAATCCACAGATTCCCTATTTTCTAGGTAACTCCACATTACAACCCATATACTCGATTATTCATCTTATCACGTAGCAGTAGTATTCTCGCTCAACGCCTCTCCAGCATTGGCTGAGATCATTAACTATGTTTGTGACACCTCATCACTCCCCTTACCGTCTTCTCTTATGCTAAAGATACTGTGTATATATTCTATTGTACAGACAAACAGGAGAATGAATTCGCTGGAATGAGCCTCGTCGGTAAACTAAAACTAAATCAACAACATCAGAAATGCTGATCAATTATAGTCATAATAGGCTCATGATGGAGAGTCCACTCAGACACAATACACATTTTTCAGCCATTCGCATAGCGACGCATTCACTCCTTGAGTAGAACCTTCAAATCATGCGATAACCGATAATAAGTCATCAGAAGCAATACCGTTCCATCCGAAAAATGCCTCAATATTACTCCACAATGCTGTTCCTCAACTGCCTTCAATCAATTCTCAGTCTCAGGTATAAAGTTACCTGAAATTGCGCTCGAGTGTATATTGCCAATCATTGTGTTTATTGGATGATTGAAGCAGTATGAAACGGAGTAAATACAATATTGCACTGAGGTAGCCCAGTGATTTAAACAGGCCACTATCAAATAGCCGTTTGTTTCGTTTGTTTCACGTAAATGCTTGCTTCGGGATTGTGTATGAACAACTCAGTCTCTAAGTGTCGGACTAAAAGAATTCCAATGGTTTGATGTCAGATGATGAATCGGCACATAATAGCTGATCTCACGCTGACTGATGACCAGCTGCAGGATGATATAGCTTATAGTCACAGTGAGTAGTCATTACAAGTGAGGTCGACGAGGATGTGTTCTGAAGACAGATACTCACAGGTGACGTTGCCTGCTGGTTCCCCTGTGAATCTGAATTAGGTGGAAGATAGAACGCATGCAGCAACGAATGGAATCCGAATGACGGAATATTCCACGGCCTACCACGTGACGTAAAGGTGGTAGATTCAATGCCTGGATGTGCAGTAATGCCTGCGTATTCCTGAAGTGTACGAATCCAGTAGGAAACAGTTGTTCAATACTCCATAAGTCCCATCGGTACTCTCATTGATGTCTGTTCCCGGATACCCTTGAAATAACTAGCTCACCTACTCTGTTGTGTGTATTCTTCTATTGGTCAGCGATGACCGTTAGTGATTGGTGAGGAAATAAACGCTTGAGATGACGAATATCCTGACTGAGGGTTCTGCAAATGTTCTTCAATTACTTGAGCACCGCATCAGATCAAGTCATTTTATGCAGTTATATAAACGTCTGAGACACTGAGTACTGCGTGAAGGAACGCTCATCAACTATCCTCTACCAACTTGAGGGTTTCCTTCGAAGTTTCATGATTTCAGGTGATTTTGACAATGACATTTCATACATTTCAGTTTACATCTTGTCTTCTTACATAATTGCCACCTGAATATTTCAAATCTACTCAACTTGTTATTACATCAGTCAATTCGAATCATCAGAATTCTTGCTAACATGTTCTCAATGTACAAATTCCGTTTCTGATTCTGCAATATTGGTGTGAATTTTCTACAAACACCACCAAGCTTACTGACCACTGTAGTACTTTCATCCACCCTCGTGTTTACTATGGGGAAACACATTCAATTTGTGGATTTTCGAAGATGAATGAATTCTCATCTCCCATCCGCAGCGTTGCGAAGGAATAACCGTTTGCCGAATTCCCCATAAACCATACACTCACAACGATGGCTATTATTTAAATGTCTCAAATAACTTTGATATTATTGCTATCATTATTGTTATATGTTCCCTTCCTAGACTGAATATTGCCTTGCTGACATTAGCGTATCATATGTTGACTTGATCATTATGACCTTCAATCTTCGATTTGAATGCTCCTCTTTGTGGTTGTGCAACACGTTTATAATGGGTAGTATCATAGAGTAATTTAGAGTGAATGGAGCTCACTCTAATATCGAACTGTTTGTCTGTCTGCCTGACTGACTGTCTGTCTGTCGGAAGTGACGTAGTGTGTGATTCGTGTGGAAAGAGCTGTGATCCAAATTGTTGCGTGGGAATATTCGAATTCATTCCCAATCAACACTTATGGTTGAATTTCGCCTGACTAATGTCTGCAACACCACTCGTTTTGTACTTGAAAAGTAGCTTAAACTGAGCTTAAATTGTTGTAAATATTGAATAGAGGCACAGAGGTCTGTCGAAGAATGACCGTATTGCTGGAGTGTATGTGTCAGTGAATCACTCGTAGAAGCTTTATCAGATATCCAGAAGAATGTAGGGATCTGAGATAAGGAGAGATGGTGTGCAAAGTTGGCGTGTGGTGGTGTGGAACTATCAAGCAATAAGGGGAAAGAGAAAGTACTGGTCGAACGGTTGGTAGTGGACTTCGACAGCCCGAGAGATATAGGGCATGCAGTGCGGCTGTTTTGTTCCATGAGGCTGGAATGGTGAGAGAGATGCACCAGTATATCCGGTGGAGCTAATGAATCTATTT